TTCGTCTTACCTATGGCATATCGTGTGCACCAACGTTATTCCAATCAATAATGGATCAGATTTTGTGTGTATCCAGGGTTGGTTGTTATCTTGATGATATTCTATAGTTTGTGCCAGTTTTAAGGAGGAACTACATAAAAATCTTGAGCTGGTTTTAGAGAGATTAAATTCTTACAATGTGAAAGTTAACATTGAGAAATGCAGATTTTTTGAAAGTGAAGTAGAGTACCTGGGACATCGAATCGATAAACATGGTGTTCACCCGATCAAAAAAAAGTTAAGAGCAATTTTTGAAGTCCCTGAGCCAAGTTATGTTACTCAGCTACCGGCATATTTAGGTCTTATAAATTATTATAACAGGTTTGTTCCAATGATGTCTTCACAGTTGCATCCATTATATAGGTTACTAGAAAAGGATGTTGATTTCAATTTTGATGACCATTGTAGCAAATCCTTCAAACTAAGTAAAAAACTAATAATAAATAATCAAATCTTGACACACTATAATCCTGAGAAAACAATTCTGATTTCATGTGATGCAAGTGCATAAGGTGTTGGTGGTGTCTGAAGCCAAAGAGAAAAAGGAATGGAAAAACCAGTCATTTATGTCTAGCTCTTTACCAAAAGCGGAAAAAAATTATATTCCCAGTTGGAGCGAGAGGCTGTGACAATTATTTTTTCCATAAGAAAATTCCTTACATATATATATATATCAGGTCTTTGATGATCAATGATCATCAGCCCTTAAAAATTATATTCAATCCAAATAAAAATATTTCTGTTATGTCAGCTTCCAGAATCATACGTTCGAATATCATTCTTCCGGCATATGATTATCAGATTGAATATAGAAAGGGGTCACAGTTATTTGAAGCTGATATGTTATCTAGGTTACCTCTAACTGATGTCACAGGTGTGGATAGTTCAGTGAACTTATTTCGTATGACGGATCAGTTACCTATTTCATATAATATAAGGACATTGCTAAGGTTTCGAATAAAGACCCTGTTTTAATGAAGGTCATTAATTTTGTTAAAACCGGTTGGCCCTCAAAAGTAGATGATAAGTTAGGACCATATTTTACTAAACGAAATGAATTTTCCATTGAACAAGACTTTTTATTAATGAAGGGTATCAAGGTAGTTGTACCAGAAGCCTTACAGAAAAATGTCCTAAGCCTTGTTCACGAGGATCACACAGGTATTTTCAGATCAAAAATGTTAGCCAGATCAGTAGTTTGGTGGCCAAACGTGCAGAATGACATCAAAAGCTTAATTCAGGCTTGCTTCAGTTAAATCAGAGAAATCATGAGTATCTCCTGTCGTGGCCTAAGACTCAGAATGTGTTTCCAAAAGTTCATATCGATTTTTTTAATTATAAAGGGAAAATGTTTTTGCTATTAGTGGATAGTAAATCGCGTTGGAATGACATACATACTATGTCAAGAGGCACCAATGTGGTTTAGACAATTGAAAAATTAAAAGAAACATTCTCATTTATAGACTTACCGGATTCTCTTGTGAGTGATAAGAGCCTCCGTTTAACTCAAATGAATTTTTTAAATTATGTCAAACCAATGGTATCAATTGTATGAAAGTGCCACCATATCATCCACAATCGAATGGCAGTGCAGAACGTCATGTGCAGAATGTGAAAGATGCACTAAATAAATATCTGCTTCAGAAATCGTCTTTAACTATTGAACAACAGATTGTAAATTTCCTGTTTAGTTATAGGAGTAGGAGTAGGTACTCCTACTAGAAGTTAGCACAGGTATAAGTCAAGTACTCCTACTAGAAGTTAGCACAGGTATAAGTCAAAATGAAGCTATTTTTAAGCTAAAACCAAAAACAAGGTTGGATTTCTTAAAACAAAAAAAAGAAGGGTATGTAGTACTGAATAATTCAGATGTTTTTGGAAAACAACCTTTGTTTTTGGTAGGTGAAAGAGTGTTAGTAGGAAACTTAGGACCTGACTATGGTAATAAGTGAAATTATTAAACATATCAGTGCAATGACTTATTTAGTCAGTACCCACGTGTTTTAAATCGTTATATAGAAACATAACATGTACAAACACCAATACTTTTTTCTATGAGGGGTTTTGAAGGTGATCGTTGATACCAAACCCAAAGCAGAAACCAGCCTGTTGGCCAGGGAATCCCAGGACTGATAAAAATCCAATTTAGAGTCTAGTCGATTTACTATTATGCGAGTATATAATTTGTATAGATGATTTACTGGTTTGTAGTTCTCTAAGTCGGTTCTATCACCTTTATTATGTAGCAAGCTCATGATCGAGTTGTTCCAGTTTTCCGGAATGTTATGACTCTGCAAACATAGATTTTTGAATTTTTCTAATTAGTATTGGCCCTCCTATTTTATAGCTTCTGCGATTACACCATCTTCCGCCGGAGCTAGAATTTTTTCCGCAGAAAAAAACACATAGATCTTAACTTATAAGAGAAAAAGTTCTTGAAGAAAAATTGAAAATTAAATACCTAAGTTCCAACTGAGCAGCATCTTGCAAATGTGATGACCGAACCCTTGACTTGATTTCAAATTTTGAGTTCAAAAATTGGACTAATTTAAATCCTTAGACTTTAAATCAGTAGGTAACTTTTTAATAAAAAGATACATATTTAATACATTAATTAGTTTTTCCACACCTAAAGTTTACTTTATCCAAATATTAAAAATGTAAATTATTTTAAGGGCCGGTTTCTCAATAGGAAGTTACCCCCGGGTAAAGCATAACTCCACGGTAAACATCACAGCTGGACACGTTTAACCTCGAGTTAAAGCCTGTTAAAGCCAACCCGGAGGTGACTCGCTATTGAGAAACCGACCCTAAGTTTGATAGTTTTGTAATAAATCCATAATAAACGTCACTATTATCTTATACATTTTGCCTAGGCACTTTTGGTGTCTAAAAGAGGAAAACTTATAAGAATGGATAAGTCAATTAGTGAAATCTTTGTTGATTCGATTATGATGTAGGTTTTTTTTTTTTAATCGGAATGAGCATTAAATTTGGAGAATGATGCAAAATGTACCTATTACTTAATTCAAAATTGAAAGTTATTCTGTAAAACTAATTTGGAAATATTCAATCACATATTATGATGTACAATTTACCGAGTCAGCGAGTAATTTTCCTCGGCGAATTTGTATAATAGATTACCTATTCATTTAAAATCAGTAAATTGCCTTTACTAGATGAATAAAAAAGAAGGAATCAACCCTTTGCACTTGAGGAAGTGCTACCCTAAAGGTATAAAATATAAAATATTTCTTTATTTTTTATAATAAATACACATATATTATTTTAGTACAGAACCACAGTTGGTGACCTCTCCTATATGTTTATATCGAGATTTGCCTGCACAGACATTGTTCTTTAAAGTCAAGGCTAAAGAAAGATACGATCAAGAGTAACAGCCTCCGAATTCAATGTCACCTTTTCCCATATGTTGTCAGACAAGGCGTCGGCGGACTGGGTTAATTTTAGCAATATGAAATTAGAACAGAAATTTGCAGGCTAAAAGAGGCTAAAAGAGAGAAGATTCTTTACGTATTGAGCAAATTCCAATTCAATTAGATGTTCGCAGAATATCCTAACAATAATGTTATTTAAATATGTAGGTAATATTCACGAAAATACCTATTGAATATTTTGTGATTATCTTATTTGAGAATATACTTCTGAAGAATATTCAAGGAATTCTGAGAATATTTTATACATTCTTTTTCCAGTACATTCCAAGAAAATTCCTAAATACCAAAATGTGTATATTTCTGTGAAACTTTCGATGTTTCAAATAGAATATTCTAAAAATATTCATAGAAGTTTCTTCTTATCTGGGTAGGTACAACAAGATGATCTCATGTTGGGCGAATATGCTGAGCAGCTTCAAGCCCAAAATTATTTAAACAGAGCGTTAATGTTCTCGAAACTCGATGAGTAGGTAACATTTCTCGTTGATTTTGTAGAAGAAAATACATAAATGTTTTGAAACTTTTGGAAAAGATTCAAAATAATCATACTTGAAGCTTTCGGATATATTTTTTTTGTGGATTTTTATTGTAAAACTTAACAGTTTCGTAAATACATATAAATACTTATTAATTGTTGGTAAATAATTATTATAACTGATAAAAAATGTTAGTTTGTCATGAGAGGTCTGTATTTGAAGATCCGGAGAATAAGAATCCTGCAAATTCTATCGTTCGAATGCCAAACTTTCACGTTTCGTCATCATTTCTCGTTTCGTGAATCAGCATGATATGTCACAGTCATGAGAAACAACGAATGAAAAGAGGAAAAAACCTTTTAATCACCGCGTTCGCCAGACGGAGAATGCACAAAACGTATAGCCCCCAACAACGTAGATTGGGGGCGACGTTGCCAAACGATCCCTGCGAAAATCCTCAGAAAATCGTTCGAATTCATCAGTTGATTGAGGGGATGCAATAAAAGTGTCTGGGTAACCGCCCCTATGTTTAATTTGAATTTTCAGGAAAAAAGGGATAGCGGCACAACCGTCATAACATAACAATAGTAAGAAGGGGTGAATTTTGTTTTTCCAGGAAATGGTGAATTGCAAAATTGTTGGGGAAAGAATTAGCATTTTCTGATGAATATTTAGATTATAGTTTTATAGAAGGGCTTAGTAGAAATATACAAGGTTTTCCATTTGAAATACGCCCTAAAACTGCATTTGAAAAAGATTTTCTACAAGTATAAAAAGTTCAGTGGAAACCGAATCTCCACAGCTTTTCTCATTTTCGAATTAAAATGTCATAATTTTTATAAACACTGTATTTCTTGTAAAATTTCAAAATTAATGTTTGATACAAAATTTAAAGAAAAGTATCTACCTTGAAGAAAGCAATCAGCAAAAAGTATTTGATTGTTAGGACAAAATTAGTGATGTTCTATTGGAACAACAAGGAAAACAAAGAAATGTCGATTATGTTCACATCAGTCAAGAGAAATTTGTCACAATGAAAACAGTATAAAATAAAACACTATTTATATAAATTAAATGAATAGATATTATATTTCTGTTATAATAATATCCATACTAACATGTTCGTTGTTTTTTTTTTTTTTTTAATAACTACATCTAAAACTATTCGACATTGGAATTTCCATAATCTCAATACTAAATTGTCTAATTATTTTAGCATAAATATTTTTGGTTTTGCAACAGCAATTACTTCTTAAATTTCATATTTCACTGACCCTCTATAAAAAAATACCTGATTTACAAGCACTGCAAGATAAAAGTCATCATACACTTACTTTCTTAAAGATGTCTAGATTTAGAAAAGTGCTATTTCAACTTCATGTTTGTGTCTTTTATCCTCTTCGGTATCTTTTTTTGATTGCTTGCGTTCATCCCTTTACTTATGTGCTTGGTCAGATTTACCATTTGGCCCTCTGGAATCTCTGTGAGGATTATGCCTGTCTCTGCCATTTGATTTGTCGTCTTTGTGTTTGTGTTTCTCATCTGCTTCTGATGGATGTTTATTCTTATTTTTGTGTTCTTCACTACTCCTACTATCAGAACCATTTTCTTTGTCTTCGTCACTTTTTGAATTACATGGACTACCACCAGTATCATTTGTATCACAAGATTTATCTTCCTCCGTTTGTTTGCTGCCTTTATCACTTTCCTCTTCTTCTCCACCATCATCTCCATTTTTTTGTTCAGTTTCTTCTGGTGGTGCTTCATCCAGAATTGGATCTTCAGTAGGTAATTCAAATTCTTCAGTTGTAGTTTCATCAGCATATCCAGAGCCTTCAGTTGTGGTATCCATAATCATAAATTCACCATTATCGAGACTAGGAGCACTATGACCAAACATACACATTAATGACAAAGTTGCAAAAACAATTAAAATATTCATTTTAAATAAATTTTGCAATAATCGTTATTTGGTATTAACAACTGATGGTGTGAATGCTTGAGGTTTTTGGAAAACAGCTATATAAGTAGTTGAAAGTTCTGACGCCTTATTTATTCATAATATTTAATAAGAACAAAAAGATTAGGGATGTTTATAAAGCTTTAATTATTGTTATTGATTCAATGCAGCCACACAAAATTGTGTACTTTAGTATCTAAGATACCAAAAAATTCCTAGGAAAAAGGTTTTCTTCACACCAAAAAATATACAAGATTCTATAAGATTAGAATATCAAAAAAAAAACATAACTATACAATATCTTAAATGGATAATTTTTATAAGTATCTGAGTTGGTATTCTTAAAATAATGAAAAAAAAATTCCTACTTTTTAATCTTGTTTGTAATGTTCGAATAAAAACAAACTACCTATTTACTTAACAAAAAAATATTTTTCTCAAATTGCGACTGTGTTTAGGATTTAGACAGTTTTTATTTAACAAATATAAAATTAAAGCTTACAAAATAATTGTAGGTACAGACAGGGATGATGAATTGAGAAATGAAAATAAGAAAAAACATACAGAAAATAGCTTGTTCTGTTTCTGGGTGGTGATTTATTGTGTCTTCACATGTATATTTTTACCTCATCTCATGTTAGGTCTACAAAAGAATTGGTAAAACTATTTTCAGGTTGTATTTTTGGTAAAGGCACACTTTAAAGAATATTTTGATCTAGGAGAAGCAAAAAATCACGGAAAATGTTGTTTAAATGTAATTCCATACATTCATTCATTCAAAACAGAATGATTCCGAACGGAACTATATGAATATTTTGAATTTTTTTAAAGGATAACAAAACATTTTTGTATTTTCTTCTACAAAATCAACGAGAAATGTAATCATCAAGTTTCGAGGGCATTAGCGCTCTATTTAAATAATTTTGGGCCTGAAGTTTCAGCTTTTCAGCATATTCACCTAACAACACTCCCAACTTCTTTACGTACTGCTTCCATTGCATCCGTGAACTTATTATCTTGTACTTTCAGAATTTTTTCGAATCTGGTTTGTTCCTCAGAGATTACAGTTTGGTTTCATTCTCGCTAGAATTTGAAATTTTTCTATAGCCGGTCCTGTTCTTCTTGTCTTCGGGCTTCCTCTTCTTGTCTCTCTTTATGTCTTCGGTCTTGCTGTTGTTGTAGAACTGCTGCAAGCCGGCCCTGTTCTTCTTGTTTTTTTTTCTTTCTGTCTTCTGTCTTCTTCTTCTTGTTTCACTTCCTGTCTTAGGTCTTCTTTTCTTTGTCTTTCTATCTGTTTTCGGGCTTCTTATTCTAGTCTATTGTCTTTGTCGTCCAAATTATTTTTGAAATCCGTCAACATTTGATTTATTTCATTTCGGCTGTTGGCTGTCGTGTATTTACCATAGAGTATTCTGGATCTTTTTATTTTTATTTGGAACTTGGTTTTTGAATTGTACATTCTGTGGCGAAATCAAATTTTCAAATAGAACGTTCTAGAAAATTCACTCTGTGGATTAGTTTTTAATCGTTTTTCGATGCAGAAATCAGTAATGAAATCACTATTCTTGTATCACTCACGATTTCCAAATAGAATTCTATAGAAATTAGTAGATTTATCCAGAAAATCCGCTTGAGCTTGTTTTTCGATGTCAAGTCCGGTAATAAAGTCACTATTTAATAATTCAACAAGTTCGATAGATAAAACTTCACTGATTGTTTCCCCTAATCAGCTCAAATGAATACACAAACTAGTCCATTATTAGTTTTCTTGCCAATTATAATTTCCCCTATTCGGTTCAAATTAATGCACCAACTTTCCCACTCTCACTATACCTAATCTCACTTCCGACAACAAATAGTCACGAATTCGAGGTTGAAGGAGGATGAGTTGTGCTGTTTATCTGTCTATAGAGTGATATCTAAATTTAGCAGAAGTGAAGGTTATGGCGGAACGGTTGTTTTAGTTCATAGAAATTTTTTGGAACAATTTGATGTAGTAAATATGGACAAATACAACTCTCTTCTACAGGAACATAATTTTAAATTTTGAGCAATAATGATCCACCAAAAGGGAGACAAAGGAAGAAGACTCGAATCCTCAGCGTATCAAATTTTAAGTCATTTTGAAATGCTGCATCTGGTATATACAAAACTCCACAAACCCTTTAGAAACATTTCAAAAATCTGTGCAAAGAATTTTTATTCAGAGTTTCCCCCTACGTACGATAAAACAAAAAAAAACAGAAAATTGTGGATCACAAAAGGAATAAGGACATCAAGTAGAAATCTAAGGTCACTGCATACACTAAAAAAATTTACGAGCTCCGCATGGTTTAACCAGTATTTTCTTGAGTATAGAAAGCTTTATAGAAGGGTAATTAAGAGTGCCAAAAGACGACACTACGACGGAAAAGTAAAAAATGCAAATAACTCCAATCGAGAGTACTGGAAGATCATAGGTGAAATTAGAGGCAAACAACCAAAATTGGCAAAGGAGATAAATATTAATCAATTGGAACTAAATCGCTTTTATTGCTCTATTGCTGAAAAACTCACCGACGGTTTGAGACCTTCCAAGGATCCATTGAGCTTTTTAGCACCAATTGATCCCTTGGAAACGTTTAAACTAACACATACAAATGAATAAGAACTAAGAATGGTTATGAGAGACATTAAGAAGCAGAATTCATTGGGCGTGGATAGCATGTCACTGAAAATATTTAAAAATTTACCAGATGATGCCTTGGCTGCCCTTGTGAACAGCATAAACAGCTCCTTTGATAGGGGTGAATTTCCAGATTACCTTAAATTGGTAGCAATCCTCCCAATTTACAATGGGGAAGATTATCAAGACCCTTCTGCTTATAGTGCTTATCGCCCTATGTCTCTACTAACCGCCCTTTCAAAAATAATAGAGAAAATCGTGAAAAAAAGGCTTGATAACTACTTAAATGATAACAACATTCTGTCGTCAAATCAGTTCGGATTTCAGGAAAGCAAGGGCACAAACGAAGCAGTATTTTCTCTACTTAAAAGGCTTTTCTTTAGCTTGAATGATGGCGAGAGGGCTGCGGCAGTGTTTTGTGACTTCTCAAAGGCATTTGATTGCGTAAGTCACGAAATACTGCTGCCGAAGTTGAGTCATTATGGCGTCCGGGGGAAGGAGCTGAACTGCTTTAAGTCACATCTATCGGGAAGAACGCAATTTGTAAGAATACCTAACAAAGACAACTCCAAAATTCTGAATGTAACTCGAGGAGTACCACAGTGTTCAGTGCTCGGTCCAGTGCTCTTTCTACTGTACATAAACGACCTCGCCTCGCTGTCAATATTGGGAGTTTTTGTGATGTTTGCAGATGATACGACCATTCTTTGGGGACATAAGGATTCGCAGGTTCTTTCAATCATTATAGAGCGTGATTTGACATTAATAAAGGAATGGTGCGATGCTAACCTTCTATAGCTGTATGCAACATCCACTTTTAACTTAAAAGCGTTTTCAAAAACTGGTTTCTTTACAAATTTGTTTGGTTTAGAATACACATTTTCAAAAGTGACCAGTATTAAAAAGCGCTTTTAAGCTAAAAGGGGATCTTGCATACAGCTGCTAGTCTTTAATGTCTCAAAAACTAATATTTTAATGTTTAAATGTTCATTGGATGGAGACACTATTAGGGAAAAAAATGTTGTAAGGTTTCTTGGGATGCACGTAGATTCGAGGTTAAGATTTGAAACACATATCGATATGCTTAATAGAAAACTTTCATAGGGATGCTACATGGTTAAAAACATATTGCAAGAGCTCAGAAAACACACCGCCAAAACTGCATATTACGCCTTGATGGAGTTCTGGGGATTCTGAACTCAGACATCCGTTCAGTCAGTGTTTGTCTTACAGAAAAGAGCCCTCAGAACTTTATGCAATGCAGCTTACCAACAAACCTGCAAACCCCTCTTTGTTCAGGAACGAATCTTGACAGTGCCGTCAATTTTCATTCTGGAGACGGCCTGCTTGATTTTCAAGAAGTTTCAAAGCTATGATAGTATAGTACCCCTACCAATCCCGAAATCTGCATTGGTGAAACATTCAATAGTTTATGAGAGAATCAGAATTTTTAATCATCCGCCAAGGGAACTAAAATTTTTTTTTTTTTTATTTTATTTTATTTTATTGTGTTTTATTATTATTATTTTTTATTTGCTTGTGTGATTGCCCATTTTGAATTTATTGTTTGATATTTCGAATTTGTTTGTTATTTTAATCTTTTAACCATTTTCAGTGATACTTATGATATACGTAATAAACAATTTTGCTGAAGGCTTCTTTCATGACTAGTGTGGCACGCTGTTTGAAGCACTTACCTCGATTGTTATTGTTATTTTAGACGGAACTTTTTATGAAATTTTATTACCTGCCTTTTATGTAGAGCCTAGTATGGCCTAGGCCGGAAAAGTGTTTCCCGTATTGTTATTCATTGATTCCTTAGCAACTATCGAAACATAATTAAAATACCAGAATATTGAGTTTTGCGACCTGTAAACCGGTCAAAAATGCTGACATTTCTTGTCAATCGCAGAAAAAAGCTTTATTGAATTGAATTGAATTGAATAAAATGACCATAATGACGATGGTTTATATCTTGAACTTAATTCCGCAAAATACGCCAGCAGAACATTTTCGCAATACAAGTTTTAGTCCAAGAGCCCAGAGCCGCCAGACACAACTTATTTTCTAAAGGACAGAATATGTGGGATTGAGTAGCACTTATACAGGGTGGCCAATTGAAAACGAAATAGAGGTGATTTTGGGCTCCCCAAGACATTTAAGAAAAAACCCTCGTACCCGTCGATTTTTGATTTAAGGGGGAACCATTTTTCTGGTGGTTTCATCCCCTAGGGGGCAAAGCCCTAGCGGGGGTGACAAGGGCCCCCAAAATTTTAAATGGTCGAGTGATACCTTATTTTGAAGCTATTTTTATGTAGATTATAACCCCCGAGTCTCACATCGCTACTATCTACCTAGCCATTACAGGGGCTAATTAAAGTTACAAAAACATGTTAGAATATTTTTATTTAAAAAAATGCTTTAAAAACAAAATCAATCAAGTAAATGCTGAAAATGACCTCAGAAGAAAAAATCTAACGGGCTTAAATCTAGAGAACGCGGGGGCCTCTCCTTCGAATCCATTGTCCTGGAAACCTTTGGTCCAAATATTGACGAATCACTGCAGCATAGTGGGGTGGCGCACCATTTTGTTGGAATATTAGACGGTTTTCCATGTATCCGTTATCATTCTCTAGTATCTTCACCAATTCTGGATGAATCGCATCTTCTTATCACTCTAGGTACATTGCTCCTGTTAAATTTATAGGTAAAGAAGGGGTCTATTATACGGTTACCAAAAATGCTAGCCTAAACACTCAATTTCTCGGGATGTTGCGTATTACCTCACGAAATATGTTTTCTGGGATTTGAATTAGCCCAATAGCGGCAGTTGAGACGATTCACCGTACCGTTCAAGAAAAAAGGAGCATTCATCAGAGAAATATACAAACTGCTGCTCCATTTATTGAAAAAAAAATAATTGGGTTATGAGTTTTTCAATGGTGAGGGAGGACGAAATAAAACGAAAAAGGGGGTTAGTAGCACATCAACCAAAATACCATTTAATTATACTCCATTATTTAACCCTGCGTTGGTAAGGTGGAAAATTATATCAAATATGGTAAGGTGGGGTATGAGATACGCCATTTTCTTTTTAAAAAAAATCTGAAAAATATGGATATTTTTGTAAAGTAATATGCTTTGATTTGTTGTTTTATTACGAAATAACTAAAAATTGTTCACAAAATATTTATAAATAAAAAGTCAAGAACCATTGCTAAGACGGTTTTATTGAATGACCAAAAAAATACAAACCAAGGTTGCATTTCCAGGATAAGAAAATAAACCGAAATTCCCACTTAACACTTAAATTGCCTTATAGTTGAAAGTACAAATTATCAAAAATATAAAGTAGTGCACAAAATGTTACTTGCCTATCCAATGCCTTACAATCATCACAAATATGGTTCAGTGTTGTTCAAAGGGCACAATTGTGCCAAAAGTGGCACTTTTCGCCCGCAAAATGCACAGTGACACCACTTTGAAAAATTTGGCACGATTCACATCTATTAGATAATATTATTCTTTTTCAAATTTTTAAGATGAGAAAGACTGCTGGAGCAGGATTTTTTGTTTATTTCTATTCTATTGTATTATTTGTTAATTTATTTCTGTGCTAGTGACCTCAGTCTTGACCTGTGAGAATTGTGGTGGATCTGTCAGGTCCAATGAGTAGAACCGAATTTTCGCGACGAACCATAGTTCGTCTCGTGACGTCATAAGTTTGAACGCTGGCTAGAAGCTGCTTTCATAATTCTGTTCAACTATGTTCAATATGACGTCATGAGTTTCCCGCGAAAGCGTTTGTGTTCATGAAATTATGGAAGTAGTTCGTCGCGAAAATTCGGTTCATGTCATGTCATTGGATCGGTCGATGTGAGTGTGACTAGTGACAGTGACGTG